TGCATATTCCATGTTCCTGAGAAAAGAAGGCTAACAATTATAGAATGGTAGATTTCAACTAAACATATGGAATCAGTTTTTGATGCTTCACGTTCTCTTACACAATAATGATTTCCTTATTGGGAAAGTTGAAACATAGGCTGGATTGCCACCTATAAAAAATGTAGTACAGAAAAGTCCTCCATAGAATGTTGGTTAAACTTTGCAAAATGGCCACAGGTTGCTGTTCAGTCTGACTTAAGATATGCCTATTCACTCACACGCAATAAGTACCAGAACTCCCTCATAAAAGCTTCCAAATTCTTGTGACAGGGGCATCCGAGGAAACACGTGGAGCTTTCTATGGATATGTGGAATACATTAGTGTTTCCCTAGGTGCAAGAACACCTAGAAACAAATCAGAGACAATTACAGAAAAAAGATACCTCTCATTCTCCTTATTTGGTATAAAGATTGTCCCCAAAAAAGTCTCTTTAGGAGAGATTTATTTTTTTGAAGCTAAGACTCAGCTTGAAATTTGGTTTCATCTTAAAGCAAGAGCCTTGTGGCTTAGGAAAACCTCATGAGACTTAAAGTTAACTTTGATTAGTGTGATAATATTTCTTTAAACAGAAACAAGGAAAACAAATCCAGAGTCTTTTACCAATCGTCTCGACAGTTAAGGATCTTTTTTGTTTTCCCAGCTGCAAATTTAGAAACATATCTATATAGAACCTTGATTTATTTTCTGTTGTGTTTCAAGATAAAGAGCCTAATTGTGAACTGTTTTTTTAAAGTTTCACATTTAAAATTTATTTAGCTATTAACCAAATTTTCACTAGAATAATGTATCTTAAAATACTGATTTTTAAGTCTGAAGCAAACTCTTGTTATGGTTTAACCTTATAGCTTTATAGAGGTCTGTGTGCTGAGCTCTTCCTCAAGAAAATGACCCACATACAAACCCATTCTCAAAATGCTGTCCTGGAAAAAATCTTGTGTTCAAAACCTCATCTTATCATTACTCCTCCAAGCTATTTTTTCCATCATCACTATTTTTGTTTTATATTACCAGTATAGATTGAGTAAAAAAAAACTATTAGGCAAATTATGCATGAATACATCAACATTCTAACGGAGATATTTGCCCTTTAAAATATTAGTTACTATGCCAAGATTCTTAGATTATAGTTCAAAGTTCTTAAATTCTTGGCGATACAACTGAGGGGGAAAGGTCTGCTTTTCTCACTTCTTACAAAGCATGCTCCTAGCCTATGAGCCTTCCCCAGTCCGTGGAATTCACTGGGATTAACATTTATAAACTGCAAACACACAAAAGCCAAGGGCCAAGGATTTCCAAACAGGTAGAGATTCATGTCCTTGCAGTGGTAAAATGCAGTAATCTTCATCATCGTTAAGAAGAATGGAAGAACCTTCATTTTCAATGTGCACTGCAATTAAATTCAGTTTCTCTAAAAACTTTAATGGTCCAGCTTTACAATCTGGAAAATCTGGAAAGTAAATAGATTTCTAATAATGACAAGAGTAACCAATTTGTATTTTGGATGGCTACATGTGATTCTTTGTTAAATGTTTAAAATTTTGAAAAATTAACATTTTGTTCTCTACTTGGCTAATTCTTTTAAGTTCTAAAGTTACTGTTAAACTATGCTTAAAGATTTAGTTTTAAGAACGCGTAGGATAAAGTAAGTAAAGTATTTCTAGAATGCAGTTTTTGAGGGTAATTTTTATTGTTATGTACATGTTTTCAACAATGGGATCTAGTCCCTTAATTATAAAAGAAAATACATTTTATAATGTAAGATATCTGCATTCCTACTTTGTCAACTGTCTCTATACGTTATATGCCAATCAAAACATCTCACTGTCATTGGTATGTGGAACATTTACAATTGTTCTATATTCTTTTCCTTTAAATTATTGCTTAAAGTGAATTTTCAGAGCTTGACAAAAGAAAATTAATCCATCTCCAATTATCCTCAGGCACGGCTTTTCCTCTGTGGGCTGATATTTACACTTTTATTCAAATAGCAAAAACATTTGAAATGGTGCTATCAGTGCAACACAGAATATACATCTCCAATTCTGGAATACAATTTCACAGATACTTTGATATATCACTAAATCTCATAAATGCCTATGGTTTGCTCAGTGTATTATGACACTGTGGAACTATATACTATTTTACATGGTTTAATGAGAACAGAAGAAGGATTTAGTGTGGAAGACATTAGTACTAAGGGATTCACCTGTCACCTGAGCAAGTTCCTTTGTCCTCTTTCTTCATTCCACGGTAAAAACAAGATCAAAACCATCTGTACAAAAGCACAGGTATCCAGACTGCTTTCTTCTCTCTAGTGTTTTGAGGAGTGCTTACAATTTGGGGACTGCAGTTTGGAGTTAGGTACAAATAAATACTAAGAAATACTTGATTTGGAAATGTCAACCACCGACAATTTATATTCTAAGCATGTCCAATATATTGGAAGATTTTTAAACTTTCTTTAAACTCTGACCTTTTCCAGTTTAAATTCTTTAAACTGCCAGTAACTTTAAAAAAACAAAACAAAACAAGAAATGCCTCTCCTTTTAGTAAGGGACTTGATGAGGTTTTTAAATACATAGCATTTTTCCCACACATGAACACAATTAAATTATTGGAAAATAATTTTTAATTTGAATGAATCACTAAATTGTGGTCCTAGTTAGATCTTATTTATCTTTGCATTATCAGATCTTACCAGTATCCTGCACCAGAGAGAAATTCACTCTATATGTATCAAATAAGCTCCTTCAAAAATAAAGTAAAACTGTAATTTGTGGAACTATATCCTCTTTCATATTATTTAATTTGGCATTAATTCAATAATAAAAATTCATATTTTATTTTACTTCCATGGGGCCAATCTGTATCTTTAAATGTTAACACTTAACAAGCAATGAAAATTTGTACAATTCACCATAATTTTAACATTATCTATCAACTTCATATTAATTTTTGCTTAAATATTATTTTTCTGGCTTATAATCCAGGTAATAAAATATAGCAAACAAGACACAGCTCTAAATGAACTGTTGGGGTAAGTCACACACAGCTAACAGTAAGAATGTATCTTCCAGTACAGGATTTAAAAATGTAGTTCTAAAATATCTAACAAGCAGCTCTAATCAATTATAAGAATAAGAATATATAGCAGAAATAAGAATAGATCTGAACATCTGTCACTGAGGTTGTTTTACTAGATTGAGTTTATTTGTGTTTGCCCTTGAAACTGGCTATCATCCCTGTGCACTTCGATGGGTTAGATACAGAGTCACTTATGGTGGGCAGTAATTCCTTACCTGAAAATACAAATGTATGAAAATGAAGACAAATGGGAAAAGCTGACCGATAGCTGAAGTATCATGACCTTGGAATTACTCTATTTCATATTTTCAAGCTCTTTTCTTCGTGTTATTTTAGGAACATGTCTAAAGAATGTTTAAAAAGACCACACAATTTCACTGAGTTCTCATGTATCCTGTACATTCTTATTCTCAACTTATGTTAAATGTTTAAGTTTATTCCAGGAAAACTAAAAATTTAGAGCTAAGTATCACCAATTGACTAAAAAGAACTGCTCCCTCTAGTGAATTTACAACATCACTTCACTTTTTAGCAATCTGGCACCAAATCATGTAATGTTATATAAATGATGAGATAGATTACTAGTGATAGTAGTCTGGCCAACTTTTGTGATATTACATTGTTTGTTTGTTTGTTTTTGAGAAGAGATCTCACTATATAGCACAGGCTGGTTTTGAACTCAAAATCCTCCCCCCTCAGCCTCCCAAATGCTGCAATTACAGGCTTATCTCACCAGGCTCAACTTTTGATATTACCTTTTCTGTAATATCTATCTTCTGAAAGAGAAGTTTCAGTATGATTGATTAGAATCACATTTTAAAATCCTGTGTTAAAAATAATTTGTTGATAAAACGGCATTATTTTTGATATACAATTGGTAGTATGAGGAAAGTAAAGAAGGAATTAAAACAACTATCCTAAAAATTAAGATTAAATTTCTGGTGGAAATAAGTTTAACCAAAAATCTAATCTTAGAAGTAACGTCTGTCTTTACTCAGGTCACCGTATTCCTCCAAAAACTTAGGTACTATCAACTTGAGTCCTATCTGCTAGTCAGAAATAGTGTGCAACCAGTGGAAGATGTAGAAGCATTCGAAATCCTTTGTAGTTTATTTAAATTTATATTACAACACATGAACATGAAGGGAAATAGGCTCCTGTGAAAGGTAAAGAACTATTTAACACAGTCTGTTAAGGCAGGCATGACCTTAAAACAATCCATCACAATCGCAGGATGGACAAATTAAAATGGAATATCTGTCCATTTATATAATAAAATGTAACAAAAAAATAATAGAGCAAAAACAAGACCAAATCAGGCAGAGGACACATTTTTCCATTTTCTGAGGAATTCAACCTTCTTAGATAATTATTCCTGCACTTCACCACTTGGCCGGGCAGGCAAAATCTTTCCACAGTGTAATTTCAGCTAACGCAGCAGATGGCCTGAGATACCGGTCCTATCAAGTTATTGTTTTTCTGGGTAAATAATAATAGAATAATTCCATCGAGTTGTCTGCAGTTTTCACTTCCAAGTGCTTAGCAAATATTAATTCCTCACGGCAGCACCTTGTGAAGAGGTAGGAGCTTTTAATAAACAAAATATAATAAAATTTCATCTAGATTAATTTGCTTGAAAGCACCTAAGACAAGCAAAGAAACCCTAACAAATTAAATGATTATATTAATTACACGAGAGCAGGTAATACTGTTTTAGACTTCGTTCGCCCTGGAAGTAATATGAGGAGGAACTCATGAGACCTAGAGGCCACTCCAGGATTAAAAATTCTGTTTTTTCCTGCAGCCTTCTTTGTCAAGTGAAGCAACAGGGAGCAGTCTGCAGCCAGGTGCAAGGCGGCTCCTGTCGGCTGGGCCGCCTGGGCGGGGGCAGGGGCACCAAGCCCGAGCCGCGCGGCCGAGGCGCACAGGTCCCGCGCGCGCAGTGGGTGGGCTCCGCTCCTGCCGCTCCGGGCCGCGCGTCCCCCAGGCTCCGCCCCGTGCCCGAGCCGGGGATCCCAACCGCGGAGGCTCTGAGCTATGCTGGGGCCGCGCGTGCGCGCGCATCTGGTGCCCCAGCGGAGAGGGAGCTGCCCTGGACCGGCGACCCCAGCCCCGTCCGCCCTGAATCGGATGGGACCCATTGAGGATTTCACGCAGTGCCGAGTGCGCGCCCTTCGCGATTACCGCGCCGGATGAGCCAGGGGGAGGCCTGGGGAGCCAGGTAGAGCGCGGTGGCCGGGTCTCAGTTTTCAGCCCGATTCCAGCGACACTTCCTCAACTCCCGGTGCTCGCCTGGCCGGTCTATCCGGCGGGTGGAGCCCGGCGGAGGGCGGGTTAGGCCTGGAGCTGGGGTTGGGGTTGGGGTTGGGGTTGGGGTTAGGGGTTAGGGCTGGGGCCAGGGTTAGGGTTAGGGATTGTCTGCACCCCAATGGAGCATTAAGGATCCCCAGCCTTGCTCACAGGGCGCCTCAGCTTTATAGTTTAGGTTTATTCCTAAGGTAACATCAAGGCCTTCGCAGCAATCACTGATGAGAAAGAACTTTTTATTCATCCATTCATTTTTAATTTCATAATGGGCAAGAATGCAAGGGCTGACGTGATAAAATTCCGAAGAAGAAGCAAGCTTAAAGGGAGAAAGTCCTCGTTTGATACCAGCGATGCTGGGGAAAGGCGTTGCTTTCTTCTGTTGGGCCTTGTGTTGGGGATGGAGCCCGCTTCGCCCTGGCCCTACGCTGCCTGAGAGGTGCAGCCCGGCCGGCTCCACGCAAGGCTTCTCCTGGCCTAAGGGGATGGGTAAGGTCAAGAACTGAATTCTGATCATCAAAACTGTCTGCCCTCGCGCAGGCTAGAGTCCATCGTTTGTTCCTTAAAATAAAATTTTCCCTCACCCCACCTCACTATGATTCAGACCACAGCGCTTTGAGTTACTAGCCCATCCCTGTCTACAAAGGATCTGGAGTAGCTTTTAAAATGACGTATAAGAAAACACGAATAAAATAGCAGTTCAATTAAGGACACTCCGGTGAAATTATGCATAGTTGCTAAAGCTGATTAGCAAGCTCAAAGCCAACTAGGAAAAGAAATTTAAGGCGGTTTGGTTTCCGCAAGGCCACTCTGTAAACTCTTTATCTGCCACTAGAGGCTGCTCCTAATTCTCACTATGTGAGGACTAATCCAATGAGAGAATTTTTCTTCCCTGCAAGCAATAAACAACTGGAAATTATTTTGGAAGTTTCATTACTTTGTTATTTACATTTCAGTGTTTTTCCCTAGTAGCCTTTTCTTTCTTTTCTTTTCTTTCTTTCTTTTTTTTTTTTCTTTTTTTGATGGTACCAATTTTCTTTGATTTTGTTGACATCCAAATAAAAGACAATGTCTCCTTTACTTTTGGTTTATGCTTATGTATTTCAGAATAGTACAGTGTACATACTGAGGGTGTTAGGGGCTGGTGTTACTACATTTCCTTTTTTGCTATTCAAAAAAAAGGCTTTTTTTTAATTAAGTGACAATTCATGACCATAACCATGTCTATTGCTTTTCTTATTAAACGTTGTAGTGAATTAAATGGTCGCTGTCTTTTTCTCCATTCCCATTTTAATAAAATAAGGGATATTCAGAAAGGATTTTTCAAATAGGCAAGATATAATTAGATCTCAAATAAGCAAACACAGGATGAGCACAAGGTGAAGATTTATGAAAAGTTCCTATAGTTGATAGGGGCCCTAACTCTTATCAAAGGCATACCGCAGTGAACATATTTTAATTTCTGACAAGTGATACCCACTGCTTAAGTGTCAGACGGCAAAGTATTAATCTACAACATGAGACGTACAGTAAACGTTCACCATTTTTACACGACACGCACAGGACCTGGCTTTTAGGACTCGCACGTCTCATTGTAACTACAGGAGGGTGTAGGCTCTGACATCTTGGAACCTCTGTTGTGCGCCAAATACTGCAGTAGGTGTTTCATGCACTATTATTTAGTGCCTATGAAGCAGATATAATCACCTCTTTAAAATGAACAGAGAGGCTCAGTAAAATTGGAAGTATCTTCTTCAGGGCCAGTAGTTACCAAAGGGTAAAGCCAAGATCAGGTCAGGATCAGGTCTTGGTGCCAAAGCCCACTGTCTTTAAGCCTTGGTACTAAATGAAGTTCAGAAAGAGAAAGGTGCTATTCAGGAATACAGAGCAGTATGTAATAAGTACTTACTACATTTTATTTTTATTAGCTTGAATTAATACTTTATTCTTGGTTTTCACCTAATGTCCTTTTTCTGTGTAGGATCTTGACTAGGATACATTGCATCTAGTTCTTTTTTTTGGTCTTTTTGAGACAGGGTCTTGCTATGCAGTTCAGGCTGACCATGAGCTCACTTTGTAGCCCAGGTTGGTCTCAAATTTGCAACGATCCTCTTGCCTCAGCCTCCCGAGTGCTGGGACTACAGGCATGTGCCACCGTGCCCAGCACATTGCATCTAGTTTATCATGGAACCTAAGCTCCTCTTAGTTGGAACAGTTTTTCAGACTGTCACTATTTTTGATGGCCTTGACAGTTTTGATACTGGTCAGGTGTTATAGAATGGCCCTTAGTTGTGACTTTTCTGACTTTTTTTCATGATTACCTTGGAGTTACTGTCTGGGCAGGATGGCCAGAGGAGCTAAGAGTCAGCCTCAGACACCCCACCAAGGGTACATATTACAAGATATGGTTTATCACTTTTGATGTTGACCTGACCACCTAGCTGACATAGTGTTTCTTCAGGTTCTGCATTTGACAGTGATCTCTTCTCTCCCTTTGCTTACTGTATCCTTAGGGAGGAAGTCACTGTTTGTAGTTCAGATTTGAGGAGGCTGGGGGGATGTTGCACTTCCTTGAGGGAACAAACTTCTACATAAGAGATAATGTGTCCTCCATTAATTTATATAATTGTTCATTTATATCTGTTTTACTGTGATTTAAATATATTCCCCAGATGTTATGTTTTGGAAATGTAACCCTAAAGTTCTTACTTTAATAGCATTTAGAAGTGGTACTTTTAGGAGATGATTGGATCCTTCCAAATGACTAATCTACTTGTGGAGTAATGGATTAACAAATTATCTACAGAGTGGTGTGTTATAAAAATGAACTCTCACTGGATCAACACCTTCCACTGTGTCAACCCTCAGCATCTCAGAATATGACCTTATTTAGAGATGGGGTCTTCAGAGATGCAGTCAAGTTACAGTGAGATCATTAGGGTGGACCCTAATCCATTGTGACCAATGTCCTTAAAAAAGGCAACACTTGGACCCAGAGAGGCACATGCAAGGTGACTGTCATGTGAGCATGGAGACAGCCATCACTAAGCCAAGAAAAGGGCCTGGAGTGGGTCCTTCCCTCATAGCCCCAGAAGGAACCCACATACCCTACACTTCGTCTTCAGATCTCGAGCCTCCAGAAACATAAGAAAATACTTGTCCCTTATTTCAGCCGCTGAGGTTGTAGTGCTTTGTTAGAGCAGCCCAGCAAGGCAGGAGGAGGGAAAGGCTTACTCACCTTGGTTGTTAATGATTGCTCAGGTTAGATAAGAAATGGAAAAAATGCCTCTTGAGTTAGTGATTAATAAGTCCGTGTCACATTTGCAAGAAGCTTTTCAGATGCAGGAGTCCTGCAGCAGTGAATGGGAAAGTGAACAGTGGAATCCAACTGGAGGCTGAACACCAAACCACTCTTGCTTTACATGGGTGTTGAGACGTAGGAGATGGAGGTTTGCTGAGACGCTCATCACCTCAGAATTCCTGCTTCTAGTATTCTGCTTGCAATTTAAAATAAATAAAAGTGGCCTTTCTGGTCTTTATTTTCAATATTATTGTTATGTTCCAAGATTTTTTAGTGGTCCCTTAATTATCCCCCAGGATAAATGCTTTAGGTTAGATCTCAAGACTTCACACATTCTCTGTCTTACTGTGCCAATTCAGGTGCACATTTCTGCACTGTGGTTCTTGCTCCTCACTCTCTCTATGTGTGTAAATTTACAAAAAACTTCAATCTCTTTCCCTCCTTTGGTGTTTCCTTCTAGCCATAAACTCCTGTCCTTCAAGGTAAAGCTTAAGCCCTATGTCTGTTAGGATTTTTCCAATTCTTGTAACTACTGATTAAGGCCAACTTCTGTTACTCAAATATTAGCTTAAGGCTAACAAATTCTTCACGAATATACTCTTAAAGATGTGTCTACAGAGGCATATAATGGAAAATTGAGACTATTTCTGAGCAATGCTAGTCAAACAATCCTACCTTTATCCAAAAATCCTGCATTGCGCACTATTTAGCTGAAGTAACTGAGCAAATATGGGCTTGTACAGTTTTAGAAGGAAATCCAAACTGGTGTTAGTTTTCAATGTATCTATCATTTTTATGTTTCCTCTCCTCTCCTTCTCCCACAGCAGAATTTCCAGAGAGATAAATAAGGACTTATTACAAATAGTGCATGGCAATAACAAGGAAGCTGAAGAATTACAGACTTACCATCCTGTTGCCACAGTCTCCTCAGACAGCTTTCTCCCCTCTTCCCCTACCACACAGAGAGCCTTTGTTGCTAAGTTTGCTTCTTCGCTAAAACCATATCAGAGAGCACACTTTTAAACAGGTGGATACCTGGAAGAAGAAGGAAGGGCGGGTGAGCCATGCATGCCCAGTTCCTGCTCCACAGGAGAAAAGAAGCCAGCAAAGGAAGAGGAAGGCAAGGACTTCTGCTGAACGGAAAGGTAGCTCCCCACTCTGAAGGATGCCTCAGGATTCAGGCAGAGGTTCAGTCCTGGGCTCTGAGGAGGAAGAAGACGAAGGGTTTCAGCCACACAAGCGCCAGAGAGACTCAGGACATTTGCATCAAGATTCTGATTCTCCAATTTTTCTTTGGATAACTCTACCATTGGATTAGAATTTTATAATTTCTTGTTACTGATGGTGTCTTATTTGAAAAAGATCTATAATTAATCAAACAAGGTATAAATCATGCTCCTCTGTGTGCGGTGCCACATGGAATCAAAGCATCCACATCACTCTTCTCATACAGAAGCTTTATTTTTTATTGCCCCCAAATAAAGTATCCCTTTCTTGTATCACAAACATAAAAAAAATATATATAATTATGTGAAAATTTAGTTCACATCAGGATTTAAGGCATATTCTAGGACATTGTTACTTGTATAAATTTGGTGATTTATATTCAAATAATAGTCTTATTAACAACTCCTATTCTGAGCTTTATAAATAAAAGCCAACTATTTCTAATGTTGCTGTCAAATGTTGCTCTGTTCCACTATAATTTTATGATTATATATTTGATTTGAAAGTTTAAATTTTGATATGGTTTCAAAATGTACAGTCATTGACTAATCTTAGCTGGAGCAACAGCAGTTTATCACTTTATGTTCGAAGGAAGGAAGGAAGGAAGGAAGGAAGGAAGGAAGGAAGGAAGGAAAGAAGAAGGAAAGGAGAGAGAGGAGGGAGGGGAAAAAGTGCAGTTCTTTACTTACCTCAAGTTATGAATCTGTCAGCTTTCCAGGTCCGCTGCCTAAATTTTTACATTTTACCTTTAAAAATAAACTTCAAGTTTGGACTTTGCCAAAAACTTGTAACACGGACTCTCCTTATTATGGTGTTGCAGATAAATCTTTTACAAAGTGCATAGAATTAATTTAGCTTTTATTGATTCCTAGATCTAGACCTTTAACTCCTTGGATAAGGATCAGTTATACCACTCAGGCATAATCATTGTTATAATTTTGACATAGATCCTCCCAATTAAAATACATGGTTCAATTCATCTTGGAAGTGTTAATTGCAAAGATATATTGATTAAAATCATAGATTTTTGTATTACTTTATCAAGTTGTTTTATTTTTTCCCTTTAAAGGAAGATGGCTGAGGAAGAAGCTTGGTGATATTTTCCTAAAACCTTTATAGACTTAAAAACTGGCGCCACCCTGCGCCCTGTAATTTTTGGAATCTTAACAGTTGGCGTGAGTGTTAGGGTACATGGATGCAAAGTTATTCATGGGGGAAAATCTTACCTTTGCACAGGGTTCTACTTTTGGAGTATATTCTATTGAGACAGCAGCCTTTCACATTTATTAAGAGTACATCAATATTTCCCTCAAGTTGTCTGCTTAGTAGAGCAGGAAGAGAGAACACCTAGATTCAAACTCACTTGTGTTCTAATAAAACTTACCCAAACTCCATTGAAAATAATATTTAAGAGAGATTTTAGAACATAGTGTATTTCATTTGTCTATTCTAAATTTGACTTTAGATAAGCCAGATATCAGTAAGCTCTAATGTGAGTGGTGATATCTTGATGTCCTGTACAATTGCTTTGGGAATTGACTACTGGATTTTATTTATTTATTTATTTATTTTGTGGTGCTGGAAATCGAATTCATGACCTCACGCTTGCCAGGCAGACACTGTGCCCCTGAGCTACATCCCCAGCCCTTGACTACTGGATTTTAAAAGGTGACCTCAGCAGTTGGAGTTTTGGTACACCAGCAAAGATGATGAGATTTTAGATGAACCTGTACAACTCTTGAGAGAAAATTGCAGTAAAGATAAGGGGAGACCTGGAAATGAGATCAGGAAAGGATGGTTGGTTTGCTGAGTCCTGTTGTCCTTTCAGGTGTGAGAAGTGGGGTTGCTTGCCCAGACCCCAAGAATGGACTCAGTGGTGGCAAAAAGAACAGTGAAGGCAAGGCTTTAATTCTGCCTTCCAAGGCTGGGTGTGGTCACTGTGAGCAGTTTAATCCTAGCACGCAGGGCTCTTTCTCCTTTTCCTCACTGGCTGAGTACTAGGGATGCACAGTCTCCCCAGACATCATCTAAGGGTTACCCAGTCTCCCACCCAATCTGAGTTTGGATTTCTTCATAACACTGTCTATTCTTTGCAAGAAGCAGATGTTCTTGTTTAAACATTCTATGTGACCTTGCAGATATGCAACTACAATGTTTCTTCTTAGGCTTAGCTAAAAGAATATGCTTTTCTTCTCACTTTCTATATTCACACCTACATTCTACAAATGTGGCTGTCTTACTATTTTTCTATCTCCTTCAAGGTCCCATTCACTTAGGGTCTTCTTAAATACATGCTTGAAAATGGGCCACTGTAGGTTTTTATTTCTTATAGGGAAACAAGAAACATGTTTCTCTACTGATGCAAAGAGAAGAGAAGGAAACACTGAAGAAAGATGTAAGAGAGAGAAGACAGACTTACTAGTGCAGTGATTTCTGAAGTCAAATAAAGATGCACCCTAAGGCCAATGAGAGAAGGTTGCCCGTGCACTTGAGAAGGACGTGTATCAAGCTGTTGCTGAGGGCAGTGGTCAATACTTGCAGCGAGAGACAGTCCCTTATAACAATTATTCTTTGCTTATAGGAAAGAAGGCATTAGGAGAGGAATAAAGAGAGCAACTCTGACTGAGAGGAATCCTGGTTAGACAATTACCTGTACAGAGGAAGGAAAGTGTTCTAAGTTTTCATCCTCATTCTTATCTCTGGACCTTATTCCACCTTAGAATCATGGTGTTCTTTTAATTAGACATGTATGTACATTTCAGAAAAGAATGAGGATTTGAGGATATACAATGAGGCTTTGCAGTTTAAACCTTTTTCTTTCTCATATGAAAGTAATATGATATCAATTTTTTATTGGTACTTGTCATAAAAATTAGAATTCTCCCCAGGCATTTAAATGCATAATTTATTATGAAACATGGCTCAATTAACTAACCAGTATGCTTTAGGCAGTGTGCTTTGTCTTGCTCCATTTTTTTGAGACAAGGTCTTGCTTTGTAGTTCAGGCTGGCTGTGAGCTCACTATATAACCCAGGCTAGCCTTGAACTCACGGCGATTCTCCTGTCACAGCTTCCTGAGTGCTGGGATTACAGTGTTTTGCTTCATTTTAAAAATATTTTCCTGTTCTCCCTTGGGCAGCACATATACTAAAATTGGAATTAGGGACTGGGGATTTAGCTCAGCGGCACAGTGCCTGCCTGGCAAGTGCAAGGTCTTGAGTTCGATTCACGGTACCAGAAAAAAAAACAAGAAAAAAAAATTGGAATTATACAGAGATTAGCGTGGCCCCTGTGCAAGGATGACATGCAAAATTTGTGAAGCGTTCCATGTTAAAAAAAATATTGTCCCTTCCTGTATTTCCATCTTTTCTCTCCAATGTTATTCTCATGTTATTTATGAAGATGTGTGAAAAGGAGATTTATTATGGGGAACTGGCTCGTGTTGAGAGACTGAAAGTCTCACCAAGACTGAAAAGTCTCACAAATAGCCTCTGTAAGCTGGAAACGCGGGAAAGTTGGTGAAAATCAGCCCAAGTTTGAAGGTCTGAGAATCAGAAGAACTGATGGTGTTAATTTAAGTGCAAAGACAGCAGAAGATGAGATGAGAAACTGTCTCAGGGTGAGCACCCAGGTAGAAAAGGGGGTCTTCTCCCCCAATCTTTTGCTCTACCCAGGCCCTTATGGTGCTGGACGGTGACCACCACACTGGAGCGGGCAGTCTTCTTTACAGAGTCCTCTGATTCAGATGACAACCACTTCTGGAAACTCCCCCACAGACACATTCAGAAGTAATTCTTAATTTGGACACCGGGGGGCCCAGTCAAGTTGGCACATAAGGTAACTATCGTAACTGAATAAGGTCTTCTTTCATAGAGCCACAAAATTAATACTTCTAATGCTTCTGTTGTATAGTAAACCTTATTTTATGTTATGCTTGTCCTAGATTAGTAAATGGCTTTAGAACACAAATGAAAATAAAAAGAAGTGTGTTGGGAGGGAACTGGAAGGACTGGGAGTCGAACTCAGGTATCTGGTAACCACCACCTCCGAAAGGGTAAATGGAGGAGAATGAGACAAAAAGGGTAAAGAAAAAGTTGGCTAATTTTAGCGGTCAGTGTCTCGCCCTAATGCTCCAGTAATGAGCCCTTAAATATTAACATTACCGCCTATGCACATCAATGTTTGAAACCTAACCGCAATTTAGACTGCATGATTTAAAGGGGTGCTAGATATCGTCCGTCCGTCAGTGTCAGGACCTCTTTTTACCATGTTCATGTCCCATCATTCTGTCTTACAGGTCTGGGATGGTGATACTTTCCAGGTTTCCTGTGATTAGATTTCTCTGGGATGTGTACTTGTATGAGATTTGGAAGGAAACAGGAGGAGAGGCAGAGCCTAACTTTTTCATGGGAGTGCAGGGGAAGAGTTCTGAGGACAGAAATGAGTCAGCAGCCTCTGAATGACATGTCCCTGGCTATTTCTTATCTCTGTGGCACAGGGTGGCATGGTCCTCAAGAGGTGCCTCACAACCTGGTGACCTTAGCAGTTTATTATCTCTGGATCAGAAAGACTGTCTTGGTCACTTTCCTCTTCACTGGAAAAAAATACCCAAAGTCTGCAACTTAAAGGAGGAGAGGTTTATTTTGACTCATGTTTTAGAAGTTTCAGTCCTTGCTCGGCCAGCGGTCTGGGGAGAGCTGTTCATGTCCTGGCAACCAGGGAGCTGAGGGTGAAGGGAGGACCTGCAGAGAGGAAGAAACCCTTCCAGGCTATCCCAGTGACCCCCCTTCCAACTATACCTCCTAACAGTGAGTCAGCTTAGCATTCCTATAGTGCAGTCTTGGTCCAAAAGCCTCCTCCATGAGAATATGAGACTCTTAGGGGACAGCTGGATACAAACCATAATAGACAGGGATCTGTCACTTTAAAACCAGAAGCCTCGCCTTGACCCTCTAATTCCTACGTCTCAAGCCCTTTGAATGGCATATGAGTACCCAATTCCCCGTGTGGAGAGTTTGGACATAGTTTGAACAAGTTGGACACAGAGCACCCCCAGGGATTTGTGTGTGGAAAGCGTGGGCTGTAGCGTGGTGATGTTGGGAAGAGGTGGACGTGGGGGGAGGTTGCTATGTCCGTGCAACAAGACACTTGGAAAGGGTTCGTGTACTATCACAGGGCCCTGAGTGAGTTCTTGGCAGAGCAAGCTGCTATAAGTGAGCCTGACTCCTGAGCTGCTCTTTGGCCTCTCATCTGGTGACTTGATCTCTGTCACACACGATACTATGCTGTCACCTGTCCCGAAGTCCTCACCAGAGCTGAGCTGATGCAAAAGCCATGCCTCTGAGTGCACAAAAACATGAACCATGCAAAACGCTGTTCTGTATAAACTTGCTTAGTTTTTCTCAGGAGAGGGCCAGATGGTAAATATTTCAGACTTTGCAGGCAGTCAGATTTTACTGTAACAGTTCAGCCCTGCTGCTACAGCAAGAAGGCAAGCCATAGCCAATTAACAGTTGAATACATGTGGGTGTCTCCCAATAAAACTTTATTTAAATAAGTCACATTTGAATTTCATAGGGTTCTCATGTCATGAACTATTATACTACTTCCAATTTCTTCCAACCATTTAAAAATGTAGAAACTATTTTGGCTTGTATTCAGGCCTTACAGAAACAGGCTGGCAAAATTTGCCAACCCCTAAGAGAAAGGAGAAGATCTGAGACATAAATGACTATGGTATAGCATCATGTTAGTATGTGGTTTGTATTAGGGTAGGCTAGATTATGTTCAAAATAGCAGACAACCTCAAAATCTTTATGATTAACAACAATAAAGGAGTATTTCTCACTCACAATGTAGTGTACTGTGTATTGACTGAATTCTTCTCCAGGTGTTTTTTGTAAATCCTGGAACTTACCCTAAGAGGGTAAGCTTTAACTGGAACATTGCTGGATCTTCTAGCAGAAGAAGAACAGAGTAGAGCAAGCCAGGTGATGACTCTGGACACTTCTGCCTGCAGTTGACATCCATCACTTTGACTTATATTTCACTACACATGCTAGACTCAAAAAAATGCTAGACTTGGACGTAACATACAGTAGCAATTTCCCCCTTATGAGAATTGTAACAAAACCATAGCTCTATCTAGTGGGCATGAAGCCATTTACAAAACCAGATACTGTTTGAGAAGGATTTGATGAAGAATCTAGTGCACTTACTGTGATGAAATCTAGATAGTTCTTTCTTTTCATATGGGGTAAAGTGAACCCAGCAATTGGTTCTGTTTTGACATTTAAAATGAAAGGAGGTAGAATGACATAGAGACAAGTTGGAATCTGCCTTATTTATCATCCCCCTTAAATTTATACTTTGCTTCAAAAAAGCCTAAATCGCCTCATTTGTGAATTTGTCCCCTTGAAACAGTGTAGAGGCTTCTGGGGCTTATTCTCAATAGGCTCATAATTTGAAGCTATGATAATCTTTATCAGGTGAGTGGTATTTTCCTGATGATTCAGGATATCTATGTCATTTTTGCTTTTGAAATAATTTAAGATAATGTTTTTTAAAATTGCATAGAAATGTTTTTATATTTTTTGCTCTCTGCCTATATTTGAATTTGCTGGTTTAGCTATGTGGATTAAGAAGTCATAAGAAACAGGAGTAGGAAAGTTTACAGTTTCTGAGTATATCACTGTGACACATGGTTGTATAAATAAAGTCAAATCTAAGATTTCACTTGTACCCATTGGTTTCCTTTCTCATCACACCAATCCTAAGTTACCTTATAGATCTGAAATTTCTATATAAATTTAGACTTCTCTGGATATAGCAGATTGGGACACAGTAATTTTCTATCTCTTCTGTCTATTGGACTTATTCTGTGGATCTGTTAGGCATCAAGCGCCACATTCCAGCTATTCTGGCCACCAGCTCCTATGAAATTGATGTCTTTAATCAATTCATGCATTTTAATTCAATCAGTGTTATTCTGTATGAATGTGGATCTAAGGGTTTAAATGTAAAACTTACCTGTGAGAAGATACATCCTCAGATATGCAGAGTCATGCTAGAGACTTCTATGCATTTCTCCATTTTCACACTTAGATTGCTAGGCAAGGTCAAAGTGACATGCTAATTCCATTCAGCTTTATGGAATGATCTGCCATCTCTTTCCTGAATAGTTTCCAATTATTTAGTTTTTTTCCTCTAAGATCTACGGAGCACAGTTAAGCACTCCATTCCCTCCAATTTCATAGCATATTTGAAGGAGCTTTGTAAGGGACCGTGTGAGATGAGAAAGTCCCAAGAATGAAAAAGGCCAGTTTTTTGAATCATACATGTGACTCACTAAGTTATTTAGGGAATGCTGCTGTCATGTTTATTTAAGAGAAAGTGACACTGAAAAACAATATTTTTCAAGGTAGTAGTTTAGATTTATTTTAAAAAGAATGAAGAGTTCCCTTATTGATTTTATAAGAGAAAAGCCAACAGTCAGCCATTTCTTTGGCTAATTCATGCAGTCCTCCAGCAAAACTTAAGCCCAGGTTACTTTGGTAGGATTTAAAGTAGTAAGAAATATGTGAATAAAATGATATTAGGTCTGTGTAATTCAGAATAATAAAATAAAGATTAAGATGGTAATATGTCCCTCAAGTACTGGTATTTAAACTTTAAAAATCAATCAAGAGAGAAGATTAAGTGGTGTTTCTTTGGTACTGAAAATGTAAAGCTAAGACCAAATTGTTCTATTTTCACAGATTTAAGATACAAAGAATGATATTTAAAGACATTAAAATGACTATTAAATTCTCTTCAGTTTGTAAAGAATCTCCTATGAAGTACACTTAGAAGAAATCCCTGAGTATATTAAATACTCCATTAGTATCTTCCTTCATAAACAAAGAAGAACAATTTAAAAGCTTTGCCAGACATCAGCGTAGCACTTAGTAAAAGCAGCATCATTTATCAGGCTCCCTCTGCAGTGTTGCTAAATTAGATATTAAATGTTTTTGCTTCATAGGAGAAACTACAGATTCACAAAATTAAAAACATGACATCTGACACATTAACCGTTCTTTGGTAAATCAAAAAACCACTCTCTTATGGCATTTCTATTTTGCTTTAGCCACTCAATATTGTTTTCCACGGTTTCCAGGACTTGCTGCCTAGGTTGTTCTCCTGCTCCAGCTTCTGAATATTTTGCAAAAAAGCTCTTCATCTAGAAAAGAGAGGGAAATAATTAAGAATGTTGTTTTAAACCAAATTATTTATCTTCAAGAATTTGACTTATAAAGTAGAACTATTGCTTTTTCACATGGAAAATCAGTATCCCCACACAACACCGAGATGTGCTTCCTGGTGTAACATTCAGATGGAGCCCGTGTCTCAGGTTAGTAATTGTGTTGGATGCCATAACAGCTCGTCAATCTCATGGAAGCTCTCACCAGTGAGAAATCAGAATGCTGGTGTCTGGCATGCCCATTTTTGCTTCTATTTCCCTATGTCCTCTGTGTTCCCTAGAAAACCGGGTCCGTGGGATGATGGTTTAGTCTACATTTTCTTCCTAGGAGCCTGGAGTATTTTAATATTCCAGTTCATTTATTAAAGATGAATTTAAAACTTTGTTCCACTTGTTCTGCCCCCCTTTTTGTCCTCCAAAACTCTTTTCAAACTCAAGCATAGTATTAATTGCCAGTTACAGAAATAACAATTATTTTATTTCTTCACAGATGCAAGAATCTTAATATTTCAATATCTAACCCATACCAAAATTTCATGTACTCTATTTGTCCATCATAAATGGATATCTTTCCTTCCCAGGAAATCAGGTTTGAAATTTGTTGGGAAATTCCAAAATTTGAGTGGAATCAAATCTTGAGCTTATTCCAGAGTTACAATTACCAAGCAAGGGGAGACATAGTGTTCATGCTTTGGCACACCAAACAGTCTCCAAGCATCCCTAACCTTTCACCTTTCCCAGCTCTAAAATTTTGTTTCTTGCCCATTTGAGGTTTTTTTTTGTTTGTTTTGTTTTGTTTTTGTTTTTTTTTTTTCAGTTTAGAAACAATAGGCATATCTTTATAGGATAAAAGAATGATTTGTTTCTCATTGTCTTCTTTGATCTGAATGTAGTAAACAGCATTTCTGTTTGAGAAATAAATTTGATATGTTTCCTTCTAGACAAGTGTAGAGGAATTCTCTTCATACCTCCCAGAGCTGTAATTCTGTGTTGAATGGCTCTGCTATTGTGACAATCCGGCCCAGGGTCCTGTCATTGATTGTAAATCTGAAAAGAAATATAGAGGAGTGAAAAGAAACATAAAGTACAAAGAACCTTAAATTTCTTTCTAGATGCAAACATTTCCTTTTATTGTGTGTGTTTTAAAGTACTTTTCAAAGTAAGCTAAACACAGTCAGAAAACACGTTTAACTTAAAATAATCCCATTCAGGAGAAATTCTTAGTAAATTCTGTGCTTCTTTCTGTAGACAGATTCACACCATTTTCTCATATGTAGTAGAATGGCTCAGTGGATTCTACAAAAATATTCTCTTTTCCTGCATACCTGAGCACTCAGTTAGCAATTGTTTGGGGCAGAGATGTGACCCAGTTCTTACCAAGAAAACATAGAATTTTAGAGTTGATGTTATATCCCTGTAATTTCTGCATATTCTCTTTCAAAGAACAAGAATCTCCACATGCCAAAGACTAAAACTAGACCCATGTCTATCACTGTGCACTAAACTAAAGTCAAAATGGATCAAAGATCTAAATATTAAAACACAAACACTAAATCTACTGGAAGAAAAAGTAGGTAGAAATCTTGAAAACATAGGGGGTAGGCATAAAGTTTATGAACAAAAACCAAACTTCAAGGGAAATACTTCAAAGAATCAAAAACTGGGATCTCATCTTGTTGAAAAGATTTTGCATACCAAAAGAAGTCACCAACAGAGTAAAAAGAAAACCCATGAATTGGGAAAAAATTTTAGCAAATTGCCCCTCAGACAAAGAACTTCTATCTAGAACATATAAAGAATTTAAAATATCAGACCCCCCCAAATTCAAAGACTCAATCTAAAAATGGGCATCTAAGATGAATACACACTTCTCAGATGAAGAAATACTAATGGCAAATAAATATACGAAAAATGTTCAACATCATTGGTTATTTGAGAAATGCAAATGAAAACAACACTGAGATTCCATCTCACCCCAGAAAGAATGGCTATCATTAAGAAATCAACCAATAACAAATGTTGGAGAGGCTGTGGGGGAAAAAGGAACATTTCTTCACTGCTGGGGGGAGTGTAGACTGTTGAAACCACTGTGGAAATCAGGGTAGAGATTCTTTACAAAACTAGGATTAGAGGTTCCACTTAACCCAGCTATTCACCTTCTGGGTATTTTCCTGGAAGAATTGAAAACATCATACCACAGCGATATATGTGTACCCATGTTTATAGCGGCACAATTTGTCATAGCTACATCTTGGAAACAACTCAAATGCTCTCAACTGAGGAATGAATAAAAAAGTTGTGGTATTTTTATACAATGGAGCATTACTCAGCTATGAAAAAGATAAACTCAAGGCTTTTATAGGTAAATGGATGCAAATAGAGACCATACTCATAAGTTAAAAAAATCAGACCCACATGTGTAGACATTATGTTGTCTCCCTAGTGTAAGAACATGAAAAAGTAAGTGGAACCCAAAATGCACAAAAGGTGTTGGGAAAGGGAAACAAATTGCTCAAAAGAGGAAACAACTGGGATGAGGGAAAGGAGAAAAGGAAAGAAAGAAGGAAGGGAAAAATATACATGTATATAGAAGGATCACTGCGATAACTGTACTGCTGAAGTCTAATGGTTTACTGAAAGGAACAGTTAATGTTTTATTTATTTTTTTGACCAATGTTGCATGCTTATATCTGGTAATCTGAACAACTAATTTGAAGGCCACAATCTGCAATGTAACACCCACTGTTGAATTTCTATCATCTTGTTTGTTGAAATTCTGTATCATTTATAATTTTTTTGTTTTTATTTTTTATTCTCTTTGATGGTTTGATTAATCTTGCATCCTTACATCTAGTAATCTGATCAACTTCAATGAAGATCAAAATATGTAATATAACAACCATTGTTAATCCCTATCATTTTGTTCTGAAACTTGTATCATTCTTATTCTTTTTGCTTTGCTTTGTTTTTGTCTATGTTGTTGACATTTTGCTACTGCTCTTTTTAAAATTCTCTTTAAAATAAAGAATCTAAAGTTTTCTTATAAACTATAATGTACATGAGCATCATATAGGTACAGATCTAACAACCAATCAGAGTGCAAGGAATAGGACCACAGAATTAAGTATAAAATTTGACCACCACAATGTTGTAAAGGAAACCAGGAAAATATATCTAGATGAAAAGTAGTAAGAAATTTTATGTTTAAAAATTATAGTATAGCAACAGAAAACAGAACTATGAAAATTAAAAACTGGTAGTTTGTCCTATACATATTTAAAAGTTTTATACTAAGAAGAACTTCAAATAAAATGAAAACTAAAAACTAGCAGGCAATTGTTGTAACATATATGATAAAGAGTAAGTATTTTTACCATATAAAGGTGAAAAGGGAGACGTATGCCAATGTGAAATGAGTAAAGCAAAGAACTGGTGCTGGTAGAGAAAAGGCAAAATGTTCTATGCAGTAATCATATGTGATCTGTATATCAGGTGCAATGCCGACTCTTACCACAGACTTAAATGTAAATGTAAATGTAATCCTTAAGTGTAAATCCACCTTGCTTCTCATCCCTATTGTCACCAGTTATTATCCAAAATGTGACTCTGAGGCATCGGGTAATGCCATCTCCTGGATCCTTTTACCTGGCCCCCAAGAACCATTCCTTTGCTTGCAGGACCATTTCCCTCATAGAGGGTGTTTGTTTCCCCACATCCTTTGTAACACCAGGTCAGGGCATGCAGTCAGTGTACACATGGTCCCTGTTGTGGATTAACAACTGGCGGTCAATTTGTAACACCCAGTTGAACTTAACCAGAATGGGGCTGGGTGTGGGAGCCCCACCTGAGAATTGTTGTCAGTAACTTAAGAGGCAGAATGGGAGAAGATGGTAGAGGCTGTTGGGAGCTGGGAGAAACTGTTGGGAGCTTGTTGAAAGTGGAGAGAAGCTATAAGGAGCTGTTGATTTTCTTGGAAGAGCTTGTCATGCTGGCTTTCCTGATGAACTTGGCTGTTTTCATCCTCCAAAGAGCTCGGGATATTGTTGTTGTTGAAATGTCTTTGGTTCACTTTGTGGGAGCTCTGGTCCTCATTCTGAGCATAAGTTCCTGGCTTTAGAGGGAAAGATGGTGCACTGCTCAGTCTCCTGGAGAAGCTCGTCATGTTGGCTTTCCTGATGGGAACTCTGCTGTCCTGATCACTGGAGGAGCTCAGGACCTCACTGTTGCTGAGGATGGCTGTGGTACCTTTCAGGGGAACTCTGGTTCTTACTTTGGACATCGCTTCCTGGCTCCTGTGCATATCCTTCGATCTGCTAGCACAGATCCTTCATCCTGCTGGCACAGACTTTCTAGCTTCTACCACTGACCTTTGGGCCTTCCCAGCGCAGATTCATGAAACAAGCATTCATGAGACATTGTCATGTCATCTAGGCTTCCAGCTGGACACATGGAAGGCACTGCTATGGGCTATAAGTCTTTAGCTGAACTCATGCAGGACATTATTGCAGGATACAGGCCCTCAGCTGGATTCTTTGGTCTTTAGTGTATGGAAAGATTCCTGCACTGTCTTGGATATGATTCTTTGGGTGACTATTATAAATAATCTTATAATATATGTGTCCTGTATTATATTGTTTCCCTTAGCAAAAAAACTCCAAACTACAACAGTCCCCATTGCTGATGCCAGACCATTACTCCTCTATTCACTTTAAAAAACCTCTGCTCCTTCTGGATATTTCCTGCCATGTACAATGTTCGTTGATACTTGTTCCTTTCTCTCTTCCATGGCAGACCATCTTCTTGGATGATTTCAAGGTCACATGGACAATCAATCTAACAAAGTGTCAACTCCTTAGTTTCTTGATCTCATTTCCTTTTTTTAATTTTAAAAATAAAAGGAGGAAAACATTAACAAACAGACAACCATTTACAAAATAGCAAAAGAACAATACAAACAATAAAGAGTTACAAACAAAGTGGTAGGAAATTAACAGTGCTTGTTGTATTACATATTGATATCTTCAAAGTGGTTTCTCATGAAAACAGATAGAAACATGCAATATTGATCAGTCAAGGACTCATTGACAGTTTCTTTCAGCAAAGAAATAGATGTTTCAGTAGAACATAGTTGTTTCAGTAGAAAAACTATGTTTCTTGATCTCATTTCCAATGGTATTTCCTGAGCTCCACCTTGGCCACTCAATTCCCATGATAATTTGTGATCAAATTTATAAGTAAGCTGCATCTAAAATCACAAGTTTATGTGCCCTCTGTGATGTAATATATCTTTTAGTTTCTGCTATGTGAACTCAACCTGGATTTCTGGCCCACTGCCCACCCCTACTTCTTCTCTGTCCTGGGCCATCAACTCTTCCTCTTTTCAGTTGCTTATTTATATAGTTTGGATACCACGGCCTAACCATTTTCAATGACATGTCTGCTCTAGTACTAAGCTGCCTGGAATTTTAACAATTAATGTCTAGCAGAACCTCAACTTTGGAGAAATGAACTGTCTATTCTGAGTTTGAATTGGGTGGTCAAGGTCTGTCAAGGGAAGTCACTGAACTTTCCTCCATTGCTTCATTATAACTTCATGGATTTAAATCTTAAATGGACCCTCAAACTGACAATCCCTTTACATTACCTTCACCAATTCCTTTGCTTCTTTTGAAGAAAAAAAAGTTATTCTCTTCCAAATTCCACTTTGCGGTTTGCTCCCCCAACCCCAAGATACCCTTGCCTTCTACTTCTTATAGAAAATACCCAATAACACCTGCACCTTTTAATTTACAAATACACAAATACACCTATCCTCCTTCTTCTGCCTGGGGTTTGGTTGCTGTTTCTTCCCTCTTTCTTAAACACCATTTTTAAAAAAAGTCCTTTTCCTGTTTTACAGATTAATTTTCTCACTTTGTAGCAGATCTTTCTCAACAGCATTTAAGTACATTCAGCATATTAAAATATCTCACATATATAAAGAAGAAAACCTTCTTCTTTGTTCTAGAATCTTTCCTAATATCCTTTCTCTTGCCTCCCATTCACAG